TATTATTTGTTTGTAGTGTTTTTTATATTTTCTCTTCCTTGAAAATTCTGGCAAAATGATCGTTGGAAAGAGTTTTTCCAATTAACACCACATTTGATATTTTCATTTTTGAGTTTTGTAACTTTTTGGAAATTCTCGAGTATTATCTGATGATTTGAAGAATTATTTGAAGGACTATTCGGTGAATAACTTGGTGAACTGTTTGATGAAGTATTATTTAGTAATGGTGATAGACTAGAAGAATCAAAAAATATAAGTGAATTAGATCGTGACCCAGGAATTCGTGATGGTGGTAAAATAAATCCATTATTATTAGTTGTTAGTGGTGTTTGTGGTAGAGGAAAAATAAAGATGAATTATTATTATTATTATTATTATTATTAGGTGATGGAGGTAAAAGTTGATTTGGTGGAGGGTAGATGGAAGAGGTGGTTTAGCTATAGTCATGTTAGGTCGAATTCTTTTATTTTCCGTTGAAATTGATAATTGTGAATACGTAGTCAATAATCTACTACCAATTGATCTGCTGATGTCACGGTCTCGGCGAAGTTTCTTTCTTTCTTCTAATAAATAATATTTCTCTTATTCAAGTTGTGATATCTTTTCGTTTAATTCTTTATTAATGATGAATTATCATTATTATTAATATCAAATTTATTTTTCAATTTCGTTAAATCTTAAATTATCTGCTTCTGAAATTTCGAATCTTGATTTGTTATTATTAGAAAGTTAATTATTTTCAGTTTTCAAAGTCTAAGCATTAAAAGGAATAAGAACTTTCAGATAAATATTATTGATTTATTTAACAAATCTTTAACAAATAAAGGTTGAATAGCAAAGTCCTTGATGAATTCACGCGTGTTCCTTTATATTTTAATATTTTTTTTATGTTATTTTTAAATTAATATCATATTTTCACTATCTAAAAAATTTCAAAAATTTTATACATATTGACCGAGTTAAATAAATTGTCACGGAGTCGAATACTTTGTCACGTGAATTTTGATATTTGCTTATCAAAGAAATGAAATACACATATTATAATGATTAAATAAAATAACTATCGCTAGAAAGGCGGTATAAAAAAATCTTTAAAGAAATATATATTTTAAAATCATATTTCTAATAAATAAAATAAAGTTTATGCATAAGAAAACCGCGTTATATATTAAAGGATTTTTTTTTTGCTTTCTCATTTTATTTTTAATTTAATTTTTATTTATTCTTTTTTTTTATGTTTTATTATCTTTTGTTTTTATTAAAAAAAATTCAAATTAAAAATTTGTACTATTTTTAATAATTCCTAAATTAGAAATAAAATGAAACAAGTAATTAATATCCTGACGAAACCAGACTTTGTGTTCGTACATTGCAAGGAAATAACATTTATGTATTGTGTAAGTTAAAGTTAAACTTCTTCTGAATTAAAATCACTGAATTAAAATACTGAATTTAATAAATAAATTACTAAGTTAAAGTTTACTGCTACTGAATTAAGCTTAAATTCATATCATAAATTAATTTTTTCAAAGAAAAAGTAATCAATAGTTTTTATTAAATACATAGTCAAATAATTTTGTCGTTTATTTCTTCACACACAAGAAACATGAAATTATTTACAATTATTTTTTACAACATTATCTAATAATATTTATAAATCAATTACTATTAAATATTAATTCAAATTTTAGAAATTCTTTTCTTTAATATTTTTAATATAAAACGAAATCACGAAATTTAAATTAAATATAATTTAAACAAATTAATTTAAACAAATTAATTTAAACAAATGAAACAACGCATCTAAGTGTATGCACAGTATGGGGGTTTTCCCTCCTTTTATTTTAAATTTATTTTTATTCTCACTAGAATTGACTTAATCATTCTTTAAAAAAATGTACATACTGAATATATTCATACTTTTTATTAAAGTATTTAACTTTTATGTTCATTGAGTGGAAATAATATAATTATGTTATTTCCACTTAGCTTAGGTTATGTATGACATGTGGATCATGAAACTCAAGTCATTCGAGTGACGTGTGGATCATGAAACTCAAGTCATTCGAGTGATGGGTAGATCGCAAAATTAAAGTCACTCGAACTGACATATATTAGGTTGGTAGTCTGACTGTTTTCTATCATCAGATCATATATGACACATTGTATATCATTTTGGCAACCGCAGTTGATTTTAAAACTAAGGAGCTCTCCGATTTAGGTTATGAAGTTGCGCGTGCGACTACTTTGTATGATGTTTTAAAGCTTCTAGATTTTTAAATTTGTTATCGAAATTCGTATAGTATATGGTGACTATATCTGATTTCGAATATGCTGGGAAAGAGTCAGCTGTAGGTTATTCCCGATCAGATATGTGGTCTGATGACAAAAGTTAACCACATGGATAAAAAATATATCTGACGATGCATTCAGTCGCGTGTTGTTACTATGGGTTCCCTCCACTTTCATAATTTCTTATTATTTTATTTTATTTTATTCTTATTTGTATTTATTTTATTAGTATAGTTATTTA